GCTCTTACGTAGTGGAATATATATATATATATATATATATATATATATATATATAAATGCCACAGCGTACACAATCTATGCAGTAGTATCGTTTATACGAGTGAACGCTGAAATTAGACTTTACTTAGCTGTTCTTCTTTTATTTTATATTTCCTTTGTTAGAAAACGTTTCCATGTAAAATGCAAAATGATGTTCATTAGCCATACGACCAATCGCATAAAGTGTGTTCGCCGAGTGAACGCTGAAATTAGACTTTACTTAGCTGTTCTTCAGGATTTTTATATTTCCTTTGTTAGAAAACGTTTCCATGTAAAATGCAAAATGATGTTCATTAGCCATACGACCAATCGCATAAAGCAGGCTGTGTTCGCCATATTGTAACTTTTACTCTTTCCTTTAGAATATTCTGTCGTTTGTCGTATGAAATTTGGGGACTTGGACAATCCTCGAGAAAAAGCACCTCCCCTCTTCTTAAGAGACCACTATGACAGGGGCCCATGAATTGTCCCTCTTAGGGAGGACACTTTCGATCCCCGGAGAATTCGCCATGCTCCGTGCGTCAACTTGCCGTCGATTAATCTCCCAGTCCAGACAGGATTCTGCGAGAAACAATATTTCCCAATCCAATCAAACTTACACGAAGTTGGGTTAACCTACTGATTCAGGCTAAAATTGTGGTAATGTAAACGCAATCACTCGAGGCCAACGTCAAGCAAATAATTTACGCACACACTTCTTCAGTAAGCAGGGTCAGTTGAAGAGGTATTTGATCATTCAAGCATGCATCCGGTCAGTCATTGATCCGACCAACCTGCCAATCAGCTACTCAGCCAGTGAGTGAGTGATAACAAGTCATTGAAAATGGATTTGTTCATTCACTTATTTTCAGTTAGATGTACCTAGGTTTACATTCTTGATTACCGCACCATTAGAAGGGGGTCTGCTTCTCGTTACTTCTCTTGTCGTGTTCAATAGATCATGCAGAATAATTCCAAGCAGCACAGAAGTTCACTGTATGACCTCTTAACGCCGTTTTTCACCAGCCTGTGAAAGGAAAATGTCCTAGTTTCCACAGTTTAATTTGGGTTGAAATTCCTGACAACATGGTAAGCAGTTATAAACACATGTCGGGATTTTTACAGAAATAATCTTGTGGATTGTTAGTCTGACGGAAGTTACCCAAACACCAAAACTGATCCACAGTGTGGTAGAAGAGACAACCCTGTTGTCTGCTTTTTTCTGGATAGACCAGTGATTTCCTCTGAGTGTGCCACCATGTTTCCGAAGACTGTAGTCTGCCTCTAAAGGGCTGTCATTTCTGGGATATTTTTGTACCCTACAAATTTCTCGAAACCCCTCGAATAATTCACTTCTATTAACCTTGTGGGCACAACTCAAGTGAATAGCAAACCAAATATCTGTTTTAGCATCGATTCTATCAGACTACTTTTAGTCTCAAGGAAGTCATTTTTCAGGTAATGATTACAGTACCATTTTTCCATTATTTGTCCGCGACCCAAGATGATTTTGATTCTTGTAATTCGAAAAAGTCCACATATTTTCTAGCTTCTTCCTAAAGTCAAAGTTGATGTCATAGATAGCTTGAGACCTTAATGGTCTTGAGCTCACTCCATTAGTGTTTGAATGAGGCGCAGTTTACTGTTTATATTTTTTTTTAGTTGATGTCATAGATAGCTTGAGACCTTAATGGTCTTGAGCTCACTCCATTAGTGTTTGAATGAGGCGCAGTTTACTGTTTATGATTTTTTTAGTTTCTACCAGGACAGAAAGTTAATTCGACATGTTCAAGAATGTAAATTATGCAGAGTGTTGAAATTCATTGGACGAGTGGTTTGTGAATTACTCTCATCTCTCTTAGAATAAGTTGCTATCACCAAACTGTTGTCTGTCCTAAAAAGTTCAAAGTACCATGTCTCATTAGGTGACGGCCAGTGGGCACAGCTTCACCAAACATGAACTACGATTGGTGGATCTCAGGCTGGGGACGTACACTGGTCTCCAGCATTCTTCAGTTATAGTGGGCAAGGTGCATAATCACCAAGATGCTCACATTTGTATCCTATTTCTCTACGCTTCACAGCTTTCAGTACTTACTTACTATCAAATATTTCCACCTTGTATTCATTTCAATGTATGTAATAGTAAACTAAACAATTACACAAATAAATTTGAGTTTAAAAAGCCTGACGTCTGTGTCATAACTTGCAAAGATTTTGAATTGATACGACCGCTACTACTGTCGTTTGTTTATTTTTACTGTCAGGTCCATAAAATGGCATTAGATCAGGACGCGTATCCTAGATATAACGCTGTAACGCAATATAACTATATACCGTGATTTGTTGATAACACTGGTGGTCCTACCTGTTCACCAGACTGTTAATTTCTGAAGATCATTTCTTGCCACAAACCCAACGACATTTAGGTCTCTATAATTCCTCGGAGCTTCACTGGTTTGATTCTAAAAGAGGGAAACATGATAATTTTTTGGCTCTGATCACGTCTGCATGGCAATTAAATATATCCTATCCGGCTTTCAGTCATGTGAAGCCACGTGCAGATGTATGTTTTATACAACTAATCTGAAACAGAAACCTTTCCCGTTTGCTTGCGTCTTGAGAAAGTCTCCATATTTTTCTATACATTCAAATGCCAATTAGAGTACTAAATCACCCCAAAAACACTCGCACTTTCCGAACAAAATGCGTCCCCAAACTGGGTAAAGTCAGCTTTGCTTAGACACAGAACAGTAAGTGTGCAGACATTCAAGACTGAAAAATGACCGAGTGTCTGCTTTGCTATGAATTATTCAGTGGACGTCAAGGATGACAATATCGCATCGCAATATCGCATATCGGCGCCGGCTACAGGTGTTGATGAGTAGATTTCTACACTGTTGCTCTTTCTGACGGCAAGAAGAACTATATAGGCGGTGGTGTTGTATGTGCGCTATAGAAATAAGACCTGTACTTATGAAAACCACTATAATATCCTCCTAGTTTATCTTTAATCGTCTGTAAGATGAGCGCATTCTTATTTAGCTTACTTCAGCGATGGAATTGACCGATGGACTACTACGTCATCCGATGATCAATCTAAGGTCATGTGAACATGATTGACTATGCTGCGACTTATCCCATATACATGCATCTTTCTGGTTGTTGCCTGACTCGTGTGCGAAAGCTTTTGTTGCCCATGCAGAGGAATATGGATCCTTATAAGTCAGATTGCTTGAACTCCATGCCACCAGAGTTTGGATTCTACATTCACCTAAAAATAATATAAGATCTCAAACTGCCTTTTATAACCAACCGCCGTGCAGGCGTGAAATACCTCTGCAGGACTGATGAGCGATAAACCCCCAGCAAAATCTATGTGACGACTGTAGTACCCAAATTAACGAGCATATCAAGTAACAACGTATGCCTATGTGATTCAGAAATAAGTATGTCATAAGTCAACGCGTAGACGCAAACTCAAGAACTGCTCGAAACCATGTGACTAACTATGTGCTTGTAGATTTCGGGTTCACTGTTCCGAATGCAAGAAGGGCATGTAAGTGATCAAACTTCAATTTATCTGATTAGGATTTATGAAGACTTGTTCTAGATTTTCTAAATGCAACAGAATGAGTTTTAGTCCCA